TTTGTTGTTCCAGGTGATTTAAACTCATTTAGAACAGCTAGGTGCTTCCTTACCATCCTGTCTTAGGTTTCAATTCCCAAGGAATCAGTTTTTTTTTTCTTCCTATTTTAGTTATTCCAAACTTAGTCTCGATAGAAAAAACAGAAGGAAAACAGTTGAGGAATCTCCTTTTAATAGTGAACTGTTTGTCTCAAAACAGGCGTTCCCCCCTCAGTCCACCCTCCCAGGCCCTTATCCTTTCCTTGGTCCTCTAGTCCCCCAAATGTAAGCTTTAAAAAACCCCTTTTTGTTGTCCAGATCTTACAATTAATTCTGGGCCTTAGTTTTTCCACCATTCTTACAGATATATGCCCTCTTTTTTTTTAATGGCTTCTTCATTATATGTCCCTCTTGTCTTTCATACTCATCCTTTTAATATCTGAGCTCTTTGTACCATAGTGATCTGTTTCTATATCTCTCCTTTTGCTTCTTCAATGGGGTTATTCTCAATTATGTTTTTAGACCATTCTTAGCAGTTTCCCCATCTCTCTAGAGCTGCCTTGCTCTCCAGAGACTAAGGTCACCTAAGATCATTTTATTAAGGAGAAGTCAGGGGGAAAAAAAGGCAAGAGAAAGCTTGATAGGCTGCCATGATGAGAAGTTATGAAAGGCTAACATCAAGAAGCATGGTGATATCACACTTTATGTACTGGATTAGTGACCCCAGCTTCTACTGGAGTTTGACACACTGGTGTAGTCGATAGAGAAGCAGTCCCTGATGTAGGAAGATCTGTTTTTTCAAGTTCTGCCCCTAACACACACTGGTTGTATGAGCCTAGATGGGCAAGTGCCCCTAGGCAGCTCAAACCTTTTAGTGCCCCTAGGCTTCTCTCAAAGACTACACGGAGCAGAGGGGTTCTAACCGCATTTGTAGAAGGGAGTTTATATAGTGGGAGTTCCCTATGCCAATGAAATGATGAATTTGGTAAATTAAAAAAAAAACTGGGGGAGGGGGGCTCCTAAGGAGGGTAGGTGGGAGAGGAAGAGCTTCTGGTGGTGATATAGATTTGGGGGCTACTTTTAGTTAAAAGAGCCCTGGGTCTTTCACTGCACCATCAGCTGCTGAGCCAATCCCTTTCACCAGGCTGCCATCTTTCTTGAGTCACAGTTTTGTTCCCATTGTGGGACAGTGGGGAGTATACATCTTTGGGGTGGGTAATCAACCCTATTCCTAGTACCCTAAGAAAAGGTCTTCTTGTGATTGATTCAGATCAAAGTACAAACTCAACCTGTGATGCCAATTTCTTTCCTGAATCCTGGTAGGCAGAATGTGAAATTAAGACCTCTTCTATGGCTCTCCCACCTCCCTGCAACTCAAAGGCCAGAAATACTTAAGAATCAAAGAATTATCTAGGAGACTCAATGGATTATCTAGTCCATGTGTTCCTATTCTGGGTTCTATGAGCCCCTAAGGGTCTGTGGACATATTTCAGGACTTCCATACACTTGACTGGGAAAACAATTACATCTGTATTTTCACTAACCTCTACCTGAAATTTAGTATTTTTTTCGATTATGAATGTGGGCAACCCTGAGAAGGGGTTTATAGGTTTCCTCTGACTGCCAAAGGGGTCCATGACACAAAAAAGATTGAGTCCCTCATCTAGTTGATAGCCACCGGACAAAAATGAATGTCTCCTGCCTCCTAGATCGGTGATCCTGGTGCCTAATTATCTTGTTCACAAGGAGGATTACCCAACCTAATTTCCTTGGATTCTTCTGATGGAGGTACAAAATTGGGAGCACAGAATTTTTTTTTTTTTTTTTTGGTCATTGTATCTTTATTCTAGCAGAGTCAGCCAAGAAACCAGGAAGACACGTTCAAGTCCTGACTTTGACACACCCAGGTTCTGGGTTAAATCCCTTAAACCTGAAGTACTCTAAGCAACTTTCTAAGACTCCAAATCGCTGAGATGTTGACCTGCATCTGTAGAGAGAGTTTTGTCCATTGGAAGTTCTCTATGCCAATAGTAAGAAAACCACAGGTCCAGATTCCATCCTTAGCACCACTTGGCAAACAGTGTCCTTCTAAGTAGGGCAGGATTGCACTGTCTCCCTCACCTTCTGAAATGGAGTTCTGAGGTCTGGTCCATCGTCCAGGGGTTGACATGACCAGGTTCATAGGCTGAAGGAAGCCTTAGGCAGCACAAAAGCCAGCATATTGGTGGTGTTCTTTCATCTCAGGAATCTCTATCAATACATGTTGGGAAAGATTTAAATTAAATCCTAGGAGGTAAGGGGCATCCCTATTCCCTAAATTCCTGAGTAAGAGATAGGCGTGAAATATAAATAGTCCTGGGTATCTAAGTATTGATTTTTTAAGTAATTCATACTGAGATATAAATGACTGATAGCAGAGGCTTTCCTAAAGGCAAAAGGAGGTGAGAGAGTAGTAGTCCTGCTCCAAGAGAGGAGAAGGAGAAGAAGGGGGTTAGAAAAAGGCCATAGAAATGGGAAGTTGGAGGTAACAAATCTCATTGGCCCTCCCAATTATGCCTGTAGAAAGTTAGAGCAAGAAGGGGCTTAATAACATAGAAAATGTTGGATCCGGAAAGGACATTTTAATACAAAACATCCAAGCTGGAAGCATAGGAATGATTATGCATTTTCAGAAAAAGTTTAGCATTTTTGGCTTGTTTTTAATTAAGACAAATTCTATTTGTTTAAAAGCAAAGCTTTGTTGTTTATTTTTAAGTAATTTAAATAAATTTTAATAATTATTAGTTCATTTGATGAATAAAAATAATGTTATTTATGATTAAGTAGTCAGTGTTCTCCTTAAAAAAAAAAATATTCCCAGGGGCACACCCAATGGAATATACTATGCATGTAAAGGATTAGAAAGGATCTTAGCAAAAGATCAGGGCTGGTAAGGGCCTTAGAGGTCATATTGTCTAATCACCTATTATAGAAGAGGAAACTGAAGATCAGAGAAGAAAGTGCTGTGCCCAGAATTAGTGCCAGAGCCAGGCCTGGAATAATGACAACAACAATAATAATAACTACCATTTTATACAGTCGTTTGAGGTTTTCAAAGTGCCTTACAAATATTTCATTTCATCCTCGTAACAATTTTGTGAGGTAGGTGCTATTATCATCTCCATTTTACAAATGAAAAAACTGAGACAGAGAGAGATTTGTAATTTGACCAGGGTCATATAGCTAGTATGTGGAATTCAACCCTAATAGCAAAGCTGAAAGGTAATTTTTAAAAAAGAAGAACGTGGCTTAATCTAATATACCAACTTTTTCAGCCCCATCCATCAGCTCTCCTAGTGAGAGAAGTAGAGTGAGGCTGACTTACCCTGAGTCAGGTGATGAAATGCTTTCCTCCTTCTGAGTCCTTGGGATTGGCTCTGTTATGGGTGGCAGCACCTACCCTGGGCTTCGCCCAGCTTCTGGGTCCTGGTGCAGCTGTCCATTTGGCCACGTAGGAGTTCAGCTCCCCCAAACGAGCACATCCTTTTAAGTCCCTCTCCATATGGCTCATAGCACTGTGGTCTTGCTAAGTTCAGGATTGTAAGGATCTGTGACCAGGGTAAGGGGCTCCTTCTGCCAAGGCAGTTTATGATTTCTCCAAGCTTAGTTGCTCATTTCATAAGTTGCTGTGTCCGAAAACATCACCATCTGGGGGCCGGCCTTCTGATGATGAGCCCCTTGTCCCAACTTTCCTGGGCTGATCCTCAGAAGACAGACTCACAGTCTGTTGCTAAGCTCATATTGTTGTCTTAGCTAATGTTTATAATCACACCTAGGATCCCTTGTGTCTCCCTTTGGCAAACACCCAACCCAATTAAACCACTGTTCGGTAAGTGATGACAAAACTGGAAAAGAATGCAGAGATCATTTCTTCCAACCACCTCATTTTACAGATGAGGAAAATGAGAAAACAACTGAGCTAGTTAATGGAAATTCGGGACTTGAATTCACATCTCTTGACACCGAAGCCAGGGCTGTTCTCATGATATACTATGCTATTACTTTATAGAATACTGACAGGAAATTTCTAAGCAAGAGAGGGGCCGTGGATTGAATTTCTAGGTGGATTCAATTAGGAAGGCCTTAGAAATGGGCCCATGTAAAAATGCAAAACTAAAAATACTCAAAGTCTTCATAGGACAGGACTAGTTGAAAAGAATTTTTTTTTCATGTTTCCCCCTTATAACTCAATGGAAGGGAAATGAGTTAGGAAAAATGTCAGGTTTGAGGACTAGGTGGACAAATGGAAGACCCATGAATATGAAAGTATGTCAAGTGAAGAAAACAGAACATAGAACATTCTCTGTATATGTTGATCATATATATAAAAGGGTATGAACAAATACTGGAAGGAAATTGGGGAGAGAAGTGATTTAACGTTATAGGAATCATAGGATTTTAGAGCTGGCAAGGATCTTAGGATTCATCCAGTATAACCTCTTTGTTTTACAGAAGGAGAAACTGAGTCCTGTGTTGGGCAAATGATTTCTTTGCCCAAGGTTATACAGGTTATAGGTAGAAGAGCAAAAATTTGAACTAATGCCATTTGATCACAAACCTGATGTTCTTACCATCATACCATCCATTCATTGGATTCTTTGTATGTGTTAGGGGCTGTAAGTGGGAGCTGCATAAAAGGAACTATGTCTAGCTGCTTAATAGAGAATCAGTGAGGGCATCTTATGGGGGCCTGGAGACTCTTCCAATGTCAGATTGATTGACTGTTTCTTAAGACTAATAGAATATCAAAGTCAGAAAAGACTTTGGAACACTGCCTGGTAGAGTTGGGAGGGACATTGGGAAATAACCCATTTCTGAGGAAGATGAAGCCCAGACAGAGAACCAGTCACATAATGGCGGAGTCAGGACTTGGCCTTTGATATTTACATTTTCTCTCATCTTCTTAAGACCTGCCTTGTGTGAACTCTTTCAACATACCCGCCCAGAAAGTGACAATCATGGTGTATTTCATACAATCTTTATTTGTAATGAAAAAAACCCCAAACCAAAAACCCCACCAAATCCAGATCTTCAATTTATAAACCATATTTAACTTTTCTCAATACTTGTAAAACATTAAAAAAAAAAAAAAAAGAAACCATTTGTCTTGCAGGGTCTTATTCATAGCCACGTTGCACACTTTTTGTGACACATCACATCTAGATGGGCCCCATGGCACGGGGTACAGATGTGTGGTGTTCTAGTAGAGAAAAATCCCATCAGATTATGGGAAACACCACCATTGTCCATTAGATTTCCCCCCTTTCTTTCTCCAGACTGGAGCTGGTAGGGAATTGCAAAGTTTAGTGAGCCTGACTCCCTTCATCCAGGATCCTGTTGCCCTTGACCATTGTTTGACTTGGTCAAGGAAGGTGCTTTGCTCTTTTCCCACTTTTCTGTCTCCTTCCTTCAGCACTGAATGGCTCCATTGCTCCAACAAACTTAATGGATTTCACCCAGTGGGGCATGTCACTGTTAGGGCATCTGTAGATAGGAAAAAGCTAAAGTACGAGGCCATACTGTGAGAGGAAATGGAGAACAGTCTTCTTCCCTCAGAGAGAAACATCAGACAAGAGTGCCAAGGACATGACATCTTTGGTTTATCTTCTCAGGGTTCGATATCTATTTCTCCATCATCAGAGTAAGACACAGTCTCATCTGGCCACACTGGGGGAGAAATGGAGAAATAACATCTGTATCTGTCAATAATGACCCGGACCTCAAAACTCTAAGGCTATTACCATTGAGACTGTCTGGTCTCATGTACTCTTTATGGCTTTGCCTGGTATGTGGTATGGACAGTGGTATTGCTATGTGTCTCACAAATGCCGCTATGATAAGGATCCCTAGCAACTTAAGGAGATATTATAAGGATTCCTAGTAACTTAAGGGCAATGGGTCTTCCATGTTTTCCTTAAGCCTAGCTCTTCATTCCAAAGGCTCCCCTCAAGCCATCTGTTTATTCTATACTGCTACAGAGACATAAGCCCACCTCACTTCAGTATGACCCTATTAGAAATTACTCATGGACATTAACCAAAATACAAGCCAAGCCACTGCCCACAGTTGGCTGCTTTATTCTAGACTCCATGGTGCTTTAGATTCCTAGAATTAGAAGAAACCTTAAGGATTATCTAGTCAAATCCCCTCATTTTACAGGTGGGAGAAATGGAGGCACAGTCATATGGCATTTTAATAGCAAAGTTGAGGCTAGAACTTGGATTTTTGTAGCTTTGGAGGCTGGGGCTGTTTTTTAGCAGCCAGGAGAGATCCTGCCTGGACACTCTGGCCCCGCCTGCTCTGCCTAGGGGAACACAGAGCATCTCCCTGTGGGGTGACTTTGGGGTCTTTTGGGCCTGGCTTTAGTAAAGGGCTTCCCAGGGGCTTGGTACAATGCTATCTCTCCTGTATGGACTAGAGTGCTATAGGTTTCTGAAGTTTTCCATCTATGATCCACTCTGATCTGCACAACGCTCCCGGCAAACTCACAGACCCACACAGTGTTATCTCTGGAGGGGTCGTGTTGCATGGAGGAGGAAGCCAAAGTCCACAGGGAGAACTGATCTGTCTGTGTCACTCGGGTTCTAAATTTTTTTTTTGGGGGGGGTGAGGCAATCAGGGTTAAGTGACTTGCCCAGGGTCACACAGCCAGTAAGTGTCAAGTGTCTGAGGTTGGATTTGAATTTGGGTTCTCCTGACTCCAAGGCCAGAGCTCTATCCACTGCGCCAGCTAGCTGCCCCTCAGCTTCTCAGTTTTAAAGCCAGGACTCAAACCCAGGCCTCCAAATTGTTTCCCCAGGGTGTCTCCTAATCACTTAGCTCAGAGAGATGAAATGAATGACGCCAGTATGTGATAGAACTAGGTTTCCTGACTCCCAGACCAGAGGGCCTACTACATATGCCTCGATAATTTGCCCCATCAGTTACTGTGGTCATAAATAGTTCACGTTTATAAAGCATTTGAGGCCATTGGTCATAGATTTAGATCTTAGAAGGGACTTTAAATGATACCGGGCCCAATCCCCTTATTTTACTGATGGGTAAACCAGGCCCCAGAGAAGTTAAGTGACTTGCTCAGGGTCATATAGACAGTAAGCGTCCAAGATGGGACCAAAACCCAGTTCTTCCGAACTCCAAATCTCAATACGAATATCCCTTACAAGGTTTACGATTATATCATATCATATATTATATCATATAATATCATATCATATTATGTTACACATTATCTTATTTGATCTTTACAATCTTGTGAGGTCGGTGTTATTATTATTCCCATTTTATAGATAAACTAACTGAGGATAAGAGATGTTGCCCAAGGTGACGCAGCTAAGAAGTGAGTGAGGTAGGATTTGAACCCAGGTTTTCCTGAGTCTGAGTCCAACACTATATTCACTATGTCATATGGCTGTTGTTTGTTACCTCACTATGAATGTCCTTCTACTAAAGGGCCTTCCAGGGCAGGTACCATTCTATTCCATTCCTTAGTCCCCCCCGGGGGCCTGACACAGCTCTTTCTTTACATCCAGTGCATACCAGATAAATGAGGCCGTGTATGAGAGCGGAAGGGCCTCTGCTTGAGGCAGAAACGGGCTTGGATTCTGACTGTGCCACACGCTGGGTATGTGACCTTGGACAAGTGACTTGGCTCCCCTGAAGTGACGTCACAGGAGGCAGAGAGCAGCTCAGGGCCACTACGTCCCCTCCTCTCTGCTCTGTGCCCTCATCCACCTTGTCCAGCCTCCCCTCCCTCCTCTGGGCTAGCTTTGGAGGGCAAAGCCATCAGTGCCTGGGAACCTGAGGGGCAGAAGTTTCTGAAACAAGATGGACTGGGGACATGGTGACTTTAGCAGCAAGGGGGATGCCGTGTTCCAGCCACAGCGTGCCGCCTTGGGCCATGTTTTCAGGAGGAGGAGGAAACAGCGCACTAATGCAGGGGGGGAGATGAAAACACAACTAAACATGCCATGGGCATCTCAGGGCCGGGGTCCCTCCCCTCCCTCCCAGGCCCGGGCCCATTCATCAATCCTCTCCTCACTGCCGAGAGGAGCTGCCTGGTTAATTACTTAACATGCCACATCTTGCTGAGGCTAGTAATCGTGGGAAGGGCCCAGCAGTGAAGGTGTATGCAGATTCATTAATAAATCTTTAATAACCCCAGTGAAGGGACAGGAGACGGAGAGAGAAATTGCACAGATGGGGCCCTGTGCAAGCTGTTCACAGTGCCTGAGAAACTGTTTGGCATCTCTAATGCGCTCCCCAGCCTCCGTGGTAATGCTTCCCTGGGCCTCCCCCTCCTCATCTTCTCACAGCATCTGGCTGAGCAGTTGTTTCACGGGGGCGCGCCTCACCTGACTGGCTCGAGTCTCTCGGCCCCATCGTGGAACTCGTGGGGGTGGGGGGCGTGACGATGATGTCCGGGACGTCCAGTTGTTTTGCATTCAAGACGGGGGCCTCTTCGTTGCTGCTGTTACTGCTGACACACATTTTGAAGCCTGAGAGCGCAAGCCGTGAAAAACACACACACATGCACACACGCACAACAAAAAAACAACCATCAGTACCATCTGGGGGAACCGTAGTGGGCTGGCTGCTTCTCTGCCTCGAGTCTCAAGGGGCTGAACCTTAAATCAGCCCGCAGTAGGGGCTGGGGAGCCAGGGGCGTGCTCCTCTAAGAGAAAACTCACAATACCTAAACCTTTGCACGGCACAAAGAGGGATAGGAAAGGCCAAATGGCCATCGGTGGTTCTACCTAATCCTGAAGGGGGTAAAGGCTGGATTGATGTTTCCCTCTCAACCCAGCCCCAAGGTCAACCTTGCATTATCTTCTCACTGGGCACTTAGACTAACTCTTCATATGGCTGGTTACCCCTTTTATGGATTTCTTTCAACTGAAAGCCTTTCTAGGGCAAGTCACATTATATTCTAGCCCTCTGTGCCCTCATGACCTAGCATAGTCCTTTACAAATAGGACCCACCAAGTGAATGAGGCAGTGGACTTTAGTGAGGTGCTCTACCCTGTACTGCCTGGGGGCAGCTCAGTTTACCTGATAGTTGAATCTTATTTGTACAATCAGGGAGTGGATGAGATGTTCTCTGAGGTTCCCACTAGCTCTGACATTCTATGTTCAAAGGTCCCTTCCAGTTCTGATATTATGAGAGTCTGTGAAATATGGGGGGGGGGAGCCCTGACACCTCCTCAAAGACTAGGCAACGTCCCTGGCAGTTTTGATCTGTCTCTGACAAATTTCTCTGAAATTAAGCCAGGTTAGTGAGGATGCGGCCCAGGACCACTAGGTCAGCTGAACAAAGTAAGCGCCAGTATACAGGAGGAATGATGGCAGCAGAGGATTGGGTGGGGCAAGGAGGGGGGACTAAGCTAGGCCCCTGTCAGTCTGTGGTAACAAGTTAAGGACTGGAGCTGCTTGAGCGGGACAGAGATGAGGGAATGGGTTGAGAATGACAAAGGGGACAGGAGAGAGTCCCTTGTCCTCATGTGAGTGATATCTATATCTGAATCTCAATGAGGAATTTGGTTAGTTCAGTGGGACACTTGAGGGCAAGGTGACTCTGTGTGTGCATGTGTGCATGCATGTATGTAAGTATGTGTTTATGCATGCGTGTGTGTTCATAAAATTTCCCAGACTGTATAAGTGGTTGGCCAGGACACTCAGAGAAACCAGTATTCACCAAAGGGATTCTGCCTGTTATGAAAAAAGCAAACCTATCTAGATTCGGAGTCTGTCCTATGTGCAAATTCATCCTGGCTGAGACATCCCCTTTCCCCCAGAGCAGCAGCTGGAGGAGAAGACCCCAGCCCCCATCACAGACTTTTCATTACTCCATAGGAGTCCAACTAACCTGCATTGAATGGGAATTTAAATTAGCCTCCTCTCGATTATCTATGGCAATGGGAGGCAGGGAGAGCGTGTATAAATTACATTCATAGATGTTTTAAAAATTAAACCTTTTTAGCCATTATTTGCAAGCTCCTTCACTACCCAACCTTTTCCCAGAGCTATTAACTACATCTGATTTGAATCTCCCCCCATGCTTGCTGCTGCCTACCTCCCTGCTGAGGCGCTAACAAGCAGTGAAGAGGCCTCAAAGGATGGAAAAAGGAGTTTATAGCCTGGGCAATAATCCCCTGTGGAACAGACAGTTGGAGAAAAGCAAACTAGGAGGGTCCCGCAATGTCACAGGCTTCCCCTGAAGGGCTCCTTGAATACACAGCCAGCACTTTGCCCAGCTCCAGGCCAGAGGGGAGGGCTGTGGACACTGGACTTGGTCTAAGAGGTCTGAGTGGGAATCCTTGTCCTGCCGCAGACCATAGGTGTGAGCACTGGGCAAATGCCTTAGCCTCTCTGAGCCTTAGCTTCCTGAGCTGTAAAAAAATCACAGGGTTGGATTTGTAGCTGCTGTTTAGTTGTTTCAGACTCTTCATGACCCCATTTGGGGTTTTCTTGGCAGAGATATTGAGTGGTTTGCCATTTCCTCCTCCAGCTCATTTTACAGATGAGGAAACTGAGGCAAACAGAGTGAAGTGACTCGCCCAGGGTCACATAGTTAGTAAGTGTCTAAGGCCGGATTTGAACTTGGGAAGATGAGTCTTCCTGACTGCTGGCCTGGTGCTCTGTGCACTATGGCGCCACCTAGCTGCCCCAGAGGTTGGACTAGTTGATCTTGAAGTTCTCTCTCTTCTAGCCCTAAACCCTGTAATCTGGATCCCCAAATAAGGAATGTTTTCTCTTCCCATTTTGGCCTGTTGTAATTCTACCCACCCTTCAAAGCCTGTGTTTTCCATGTAGTATTCCATGACCCTCTTTCCCCACCAAATGACATCTCCCTACTCAGGACAGCATGGCCTGTCCCCCTTGCATGTCAATTGCGATTTGGTTATTTGACTTTATGTCGTATCTCTCCTCATAGACTCCATGACATCAGGGACTGTGGTTCCTTCAGTACCCACCAAGGGCCTTAGACGCAGCAGATGCTTAATAATTGTGAATGAATGAATGAATGCATGAATGCATGAATGCATGACCTACTCCATAAATCCTTCCCAAGGCACTCAGGGTCACAGGTGACCTCACCTATCCCTAAATTCACTACATTCCTTCTTCTCGGTGCTCCTGTAGACTTTAGCATATACATGTATTGCTGGCATAACTCATTTTATATTTCAAATGATCTCACATATTGTTCTTCAGTTGTTACAACAGGCCTGGAGTCCTCCTTTGAGTGGCGTGGGGTGACCTGGGCCCTGGAAAGCCATCCCCTCAGAACTGCAGCTCTGGATAGATCCTGCCAACCTACAAATTCTTCAAGTTCAGTCCTCACTGTGGATAGGACTGTGGTCTCTGGCCCAGGCCAGCCATGTGAGGAGAGAATCAACCCCACGCTGGCCACCAGGAGATGAAATTTCTTAGCCATGGCAATTCTTGGAGACCATTTCCTAAGCTCTAGCAGGGCTGTGCTCTGTTTCAGCAGAGGGAGGGATCATGCTGATGAAATAACCCACTTCAGTTCTGAGATTCCAGGATTCACATCCAGAACCTTCAGTCAGAGCATCTGATTAATTTCCTGGCCTGCCAAGAGCTGGGCTCAGCTATCATGCTCAGGCTTAATGCTTCTGAGTTCAAATGGAGTAGGGATCATGCCAGATTAACAGCGGAGCTCACCCCAGCTGGGGCCCTTAAGCCCCAGGGCCCTGCTGGACCTTTCTAATACTATTAAAGAGAGTGAAATCCCATCAAACTCTGGTCCGTGGAACAGCATGACCTTTCATTGGGGGACTATAAGTCTCTTTCACAGCTGACCAGAGGCAAAATATCATTATCCCCATTTTAAAGATGGAAATGCCAAAGTATTTTGGCTTTTGTAAGTAGGTTTAGCTCTAAATGGAGAGGCAAAGGAAAGAACTGAGGTCTCCTGGTAATACCTATTACAGCACAATGCCTCCTGTCTAGCACGAGGCTCTGCACATTCCAGATGCTCAATTAATTCTGTATGTAAGGAGAGCCAGATAGTTTTTCTACAGAGTGAATGAATCCAAGTTAGCCCAGATGATCATGGACAAGTTGCCCCCCAATCTCTGAGTATCAGTTCCTTAGCCTTTGTAAAATGAGGGGGTCAAAGTCTCCAGTGACCCTCTGTATCAGTTACAGAAGGCAACATGGAGCGGTGCAAAGAACTCTGGGAGCAGGGTCTGGGCTGCACCACTTCATGCATTTGGGTAAGATGGAAGCGGCCTCATCCAGGTCAAACTCATACCTGAGCAGGTATGGCTGAAACAATATACGGAAGAAGAGAGGTTGTCCAAGAGTGTGGCCAGCTGGCTGATAGCGCCTCCCCCACCGGCAATTCCTTCCCGTCTCCCTCCTCAATTTTAAAAGAATTTTATTAAGCTGTCCTAGGCCCTTGGAAAACAAGACCAATACAAGCCATTTAAAAGCAAAGCTGATAGCACGGAAGCATCTGCCCTACCTACCTCCTCCCCCTGCCAACTGTCCGCTGGGTCACCTGCTGCTTCCTCCTTATCAATGCTGCGTCCTGCCAGCATCAACCAGCCTGGCCTAGCTGACCAGGGACAAGTCACTCCCTGCTCTGGGGATCAGTTTTCTCCTTTGTAAACTGAGGTCTCATTTCCACACTAAGAACTCTCTCTTCATTCACCATTTATTCCTAACTAGTGAAGAAAGGTCCTTTGGGATACGGGAGGGCTCCCTTAGCTAATTGGATTTTTGTAATGATAGTAGTTAACATTCACATCACATTTTATACCCTGCCAGGAATTCTGAGAACACAGTCCTATGGACCTATGGAATAAGGTCCTAAGCCGGATGGAGTCAGGAGGGCCTGAGTTCAAATGCAGCCTCAGGCACTCACCAACTGTGAGACTCTGGGCAAATCACTCATCCTCTGTCTCCCTCAGTTTCTTCAACTATAAAATGGGGATAATGTAATATATATATGTATATATAATAATGATAGCATCTCCCTCTCAGGGTTGTTGTGCAGATCAAATGAGATCATATTTGTAATAATAATAAAATGAAATAACATTTGTAAAGCACTTTGCACAGTGTCTGGTACACAGTAGGCATAATATAAATGCTCGCTATTATTATTAAGACCAAGACACGGTCTCTGTTCTGGAGCTTAAGGTCTAGTTGGAGAAATAAAACACCACTTTCTCCATCTGAATTCCAATTTCCTCTTCTATAAAATAAGGGAGCTCAGCCAATAGGTAATCTCCCATCTGTTTCCCTCTACCTTACTAGGATTCAGGGATAATCAAAATTTTTGTAGAAAATGATGGTACCCCTTAGTTGCTATCTGCTTTTATAGTCCCAGTATAGGCCCCTGTCCATTCAAAAGTAAGACCCAAAGGATTTTTCTGCCTCATCCACATAATACTGTCAGGAGGCAACTAAACCAGGGAGTATGATGGTAAATGTTTAACATCCAGCTCTCTGGGAAAAAAAAAGTCTA